CAGATAAGCGGCTGAAATGTATACAGCAGCAAGCATTCTAGTCAAGTGAAGTCCATGTGAGCATATAAATGATTGTGAGAGTTTTATAAAACATGCAATACCATAATGAAATCCTTTCTAGTGGGAGACTGAGCGACCAGGAGATAGTTTCCCTCTACAGCAGTGGCATGATGGAAAGGAGTTATCTGTTATTAGAAAGCAGTAGGCAAGAAATAGAGAATCAAACTTTTTGCACAGCATAGCAAATTATAGGAAAATAGTGTGATTTAATTTTCTTATGTATAAATGACTTTTAACCTTCCCTGCTGGGTTGTTATGTAGTTTGTTTTTGAAATGTATGATATAGCATGGTTATATTTTATATATACTACTGTATAGTGGATTGCTGTATTCTATTCCTGGAGTTAAGTTCTGTTCACTTAGAAAATCAGCATTTCAGAAATTCTCACATTAATTAAGGAGAATCTGACTGTTGGACTGATTGGCTGGCTATTGGTTATTCTATCACTAAACAATATTAGAAAACATTATGCCTTGGAAATTTAAAATATCATATAAATAGTTCTGGAAGAATACCAGCAAAAAAAAGCAAAAGAAATTAAGCTTATGAGACCTTTAAAATGTTARTAATTGTAAAAATATAGGTGATCTGATCTGCCCATTTAAGCTAWAATTGACAGAGCAGTTGCAATGTGCTGAAATGCTCAACTTCCATTCCAATAACGCTTGAATCCAAGAGTACTTGGCTGTGCCAAGACAACATTCATCATAAACTTAGCTATTTTCATAATAATTTAACCTTAAATGTTGGCAGTATAGTTAACCATGCTTTTCTCATTAAAATGTTATTTTCTCAGGCTTCCAATTTTGTTCGTGTGATATTTCTGTTAAAACAGTTTATCAAATCCTAAAATATGTCCAGTACATTGTGTGGCATTAAATAGCTGAGGGATTCTGCTGGAGGAGGAGAGAGAGAGAGAGAGAGAGAGAGAAAAAAGAGAGAGAGAAAAGAAAGGCATCATGCATATCCAACAGGAAGATTGTATATCCAAATCACAGTGTTAAAAAAATTGGATGGAATTTTCAAAGGCATGTAAATATATTGTCACATAAAGTCTTCTCARAATGGTTTTATAAGATATGGCAGAAGTGATATTAAGGTTATTCTGTACATTTGACACTGGTTTTATTAATTTAAACTACTAGAAATCTGCTAAAATCAGAACCTTTTAACCTGGGGATCTCTTTTGCTCTGTTCATCTCATCAGATGATCTATTTTTGCTTCATATAGCACCGCACTGCTGAGCAAAGTAGCTAGAAAATCTGTGCTCACAAGGTAAACTTTATATGTCCATAATTTCATAAAACTTTGAAACTTGAGGGAGGGCAGCATGTGAAGGAGAGCTCTGCTTCAGCCCATGCACAGTGCAATTGCTAGGAATAGTCTCAACTGCTACACAGTTCCAAGTTATTATCTCATAAGGTTTTATTTAGGACGTTTACCCTTTCAAAACAGTCACTGTGATAGATAACTAAATAGCCCTGCGATGATTAGGCTTTAAATATATGGAATTTTGTTTTTTCCTTGTTCTTGTCACTGACAGAGTGCTCACCCAGTCACTTCAAGTGCAGATCTGGGAGGTGTGTCCTGGCATCCAGAAGATGTGATGGTCAAGCTGACTGTGAGGATGATAGTGATGAGGAAAGCTGTGGTAAATATTCAATGAACTAGATTCTTTTGAACAGAGAAATGAAACACCAGAAAAGCATTTTTGTTTTTCCTCAGTTAATTTGACCATGGTGTGACAATTCAAAGGATAAATCCCATCTTCTGTAAGAAGAATGAATACTTCATCTTGATTAATATCAACATCATTTATGATATTTAATATATTAAATTTTGTTAACTATATTTTGGGTGTTTGAATATGAATTTAATAYTTGAGATTAAAAAAAAATGGAGATTTGATTCTTTTTGTCCATTGATATTGATTGAGATTCCTTCTGTGCTGAAGCTTGACCTTCTGGCAGTTTAAATGTTGAATTTGTAAATGCAGTTTTAAGTGTATATACAGCAACATTCGCATTTTGATGGATTGACACTAAATCTTGTTAGTGAAGTGGATTTCTATTGCAGTTGTCAAGAGTTAATTCTTTTTTTTCTCCATGGTCAATCTTTAGCCATAGGTGCAGGATACCCCTGAAGTGGTTTATTTGAACTTTATTCCCCAATACATAACAGATTATTTAAGATAGAGAAATTCTTGACTCTTAACTTTGGGAGATACACTGGGTTTGAGAAAAACCAATAAATCTCATGAYCATGTATTTACTGGCAGGAAAATTCCAAGGAGAAGGGAGTTTATAATATTTTCTTATTTGGCTCTAGTGTAGCCTTTCTGAAATTGTGCATGTTGTCCAGACTTCCCCAGGGCAAAAAGAGTAAAGATAAATCACCAAGYGATATCTTATCTAAATCAAGGGATTTAGATCTAATCTATCTAATCTATTTTATCTAAATGTAAATTAGAGGTGTAAATATCAGTAAAGGACTGAAAAACCTCTAGCAGTGTGGGACTAAGGGACGCTCTGTTTTGCTTATCAGAGATAAGTTAAGAGGTGATGGAAGCATAGCTTCCATGGGCAATAAAAGACTCTCTGAAGCTACATTAAATTCAAGTTTGTCAGCTCTATAATATGAGAGTTTTTCTTTTTTTTTTTTTTTTTTTTAACAGGAAATTTTTTTAGTGATGGATTAGCCAATGATATTATATAGCTATAGGCATAATGTATAAACCTTGAAGGAGTGATATATTCTCGACTACTGGGAATTTTCAAATCATGATTAATTTTATTTATTCTACCTGCCTCAATCCCTCTTTCCCTTACCAGAGAGAGAGAGAGAGAAATGCATACTCATAGAATAAGAGTTAATTTTCTGTGATTCTTTTTTATATATTTTACATGGAAGGCAGAACTGATTATTGTAGTGACTCTTTTAGAATTTATAATTACTTGGCCTCTGAATCAAYTGTCTTGGTTGCCCTTCCTATCAAATATTTTTGTTGCCACTGAATTCCTCAGAAGAGTAATTGCTGCTCATCTTTAAGGATAATTTTATACTCCTGGACATTAGCATATGAAATATTATTCTGACACATAAAATTAATTTCTTGAGTAGATCTCTCTGTCTAGACAAAATGTCACGAGCAATCAATGGAATTTTATCAGCTTCTATAAATATGGCAGGCTATATCTGTTAGGAAATTACAGCTGTCAGAGTGACATTACATTGACCGTGGGTAATGCTGTTATAGAAGAACAGCCAGTCCCTGTAAAGCAGCAGAAGTAACTGCCTGACTTATTCATATTCTTATTCTTATTCTTATTCATGTGTGCAGGCCAAAATCAAACTTGTTAATCCTTCCTTGTGTAAAGGGCTATTTAATATTATATTAGATTTATTCTTTGAAAGTGTTTTTGTGCTGTTAAATAACAGTCAATAATAATAGTACTCTGGCCAAAAGAGTCCAAAGGGACTAAACTCCATTCTGCCCATGCAAAGCAGAGCTGTGCTTGATGCCAGCTGTGTGCTCCCTTCAGGAACCTTTTCCCATACTTTCACATGATCCCTGTGAGGGAAAGCTCATCCATGCTGTTGCTATGAAATCCAATTGTGAAGTGCAATTTAGAGCAGAATTTGAGGAGAAAATTTTACCCAGAGTTTTGAATGTGAGACTTTGGAGTGCATTCCACCAAAGTGTGAAGAAAATAATTTCTGAAAATTAATATCTCGAGAGAAGTGAAGGGAGTTTGTGATGTTAAATATCCCTATTGAACTACAATGTTTCTGGCAGAGAGCAGAAGAGGGTCATGGAAGATTATTAAAAGAATTGAGGACAAAGCATTATGAAACAGTATTGTCCTCCTCTGCTTTCTGCAATCTGAGATCTGAGTGTAGTATTTTAGCTGATGTAGTACTGTCGTGATCTAACAGTTAAAGACTTTAAAATAATTTCCTGAAGAATTTATTTGTGTATAACATAGTAACTTATTTCATATTTTGAAGAAGAGTGAAGGTAAGATCATATGGAAATCTCTATCTCTTGTCAAAATGTATGTTTGATATGGGAGTAATATAAAAATAAGTTTTCAAACCTCTATTTCCACTTTAATTTCATTCTCATTAAATTAATAATGTATGTTATAAAAGTATTTTGGAGAAATAGAAACACTCCCGAATTATAGATGGACTTCTCCTGAAAAAAAYACATATATTTAAATATAGATTTCCGTGTTGTGAATTTTTCCTAGAGAGTTGTGACTGTGTCTCCATTGCACTTAATTTCGGAGAGTCATGGAGAGCTTCACAATAAAATGCGATRAAGTGAGATGAAGAGAGAAAAAAAACACAATTAACTGCAAACACTTRAACTAACAAACTGCAATGGTTCATAAATTAAAATTAAATTTTTATTTTGCCTTTATATCAAGTTTCTATCGTGATTGACTTTCTTCTTTATTAAATAAAAGTTTTGKTTTAGATTCTATTAATTTTTTGTTAATGGTTATTGAAGTAACGCACAAGAATGTTATTAAGAAAGAAAATCCTTGGATTTGCCTTAGAAGTTTCCACCAAACTCCAAAGAAATCCTGTTTCCTCCCAAATAAGCCTAACTTTTATGTTACAGAGAGGTCTGCTGTTGTTATTTCCAGAAATGCAGAGATGTAGAATTGGATAAACAGCTTAAGCATTTTCTAGTGGAGGGAGATATAAATCATGCATCCCTGTTGCAGCCTAGACTTGTCTATCTGCCTAAGAAATTTATTAAAGATAAGTAGGCAGGAATATCAAAAAATCATCTTGTAAGCTTCTGGCACCTCTCCCCTAAGCATTAGTCTTTGGAAATAAATCTGTATGTATATAAAATGAATTAAATCTAACACCAGTGATGGTAACGTGGCTTTCATGAGTTCCACCTTGCAATTATCTTTTATAAAAAAAATTCTCTGATTTAGTAGTGAGTAGATGAAAAGGAGAATGAATCACTAACACCTCTTTCCTGGCCGTCAAAACGTTACTTACTGACTCCAACACTCCTTACCTTCTCAGGGACTATTTATTTCTCTGTGTGCGTAACATTTTTTGCATGTCCTGATTAATCTAAGCCAAATGAAGTTCTTTGCACATCCACATTTTTATGATTAAAACCCAGCTACATTTTTCCTACAGTTATATGAGCTAGTAGTGATTCTGTGGTTCATGTTTGTAAAATATTTATTTCTGAAATAATACTTCATAGATATAGGATGCTGTTTTAATAATTTATCCCAGATATGCTRCTTTAGTTCCAGGTCTGGGAAAACTGCTTCAAATGCAGTATGTGAGCATATACCCAGGCTATTTTTCTGTGTTTGTATAAGGGTTGTTACCTGAACTTGAGCTTGGATTAAAATGAAAACTAGCACTTTTGGCTTTAGAACATGCCAGACAAGACAATGAAAACTACATCTGTTTGGGTCAGCAGGACGTGAGAACTCTCTATTTTCGCATTATGGCTTCCAGGAAAACCACAATGTCAGATGCACAGGACAGCATGTCCAAGAAGTTCATTCTTAAACTGATATCATAGTGAGGTGCTTTATTAATTGTGGAAAGCAAATAGTGCAGATAAAACAAGAGAATACCATTTTTATAAAATGTACCTCAGGCCATTCCTAATTTTCTCTAGTTGCTTAACAGCATTTTTACAATCAAAGCATTTCGACACAGTTTTTAAAGGATTCCTCTTGAAGACATTTTGAAATCAGGGCTGTTGATTAGTTGGCCTTTGAAGAGACAATAACTTAGCATGCTGTGTGCCTAATAATAAACCCTTGGAGATTCATACAGGTCTTTACAATCTTTTACATCTTGTTTGGTCTCAGATTACTGGGACTAAGAAAATTTCATTCATGGTCAATACTTAGAGCATCTTCCTACCTTTCACTTGAATTTTCATCAGATTCTGTGTCAGCTCCATCAAGAAATAAAAGTATTTTCATTACGTTACTTCGTGGAGATTCCATGCGCTTTAATTCTGTATAGTATGCTTTTAAAGGAAACTCYACAGACTTCAGCATTACAAATATTTATTATTAATAAATGCATTTCAAGAATATTTGGGTATAGATAAGTATTTGAGCTAATGCCTAAATCAGTGTATATAAAATAATATACACATTATAAAAAAAAAAAAAAAAGAATGTATTACGAAGTATTATTGTTGAATACCCRTTTGAATGACTTTTCAGTGTAATAGCCTTAATTCTGTTTCCCMGTTAGTGCTTGATAAGTCTTAAATTCCTTAAAAATTATATTGCAAGTGAAAATATTTTGAATGTTTTAGGATTATTATGAAAAAAAAAGTTGACATTTGATATTGCATGCAAGTATTTCAGAACTGTGCTTCTCTATCTCCAGGTTGTAGGGAAAGGGGCCTTTGGGAGTGTCCTTTGAAGAAGCTTTGCATCAAGCACACTATGATCTGTGATGGTTTCCCGGATTGCCCTGACAAGACGGATGAAAAGAACTGCTGTAAGTGCTTAGGCAGGTTCTTGGTCCCTGCTGTAGTGTGTAAGGAGTTGAACATCTTTTTAGGATTCTGGAGCCCAGAATAAATTGAGATAAAAGGATTCTCTCCAGATAGAAAAGCTCGGTCATTCCCACGGTTTCCTTTTCAGTCTTTCTGTGGCATCAATTTATCTCTTTCCTCATGTTGTGTCCTCTGTTTTTCATATCCCRGAATTCTCACTGTCTCTGTGGTCACTCCATCTCTCTCTCATTTTATGTCTCTCTCTCTCTCTCTCATTTTATCTCTCTCTCTGTTCCTTCTCACATCTTCATGTGTCTTCATGTATCTCTGTGACTTTTCTTTTTACTTCTTATAGATCCTTTATTTTTTTCCTAACTATTCTCAGMTTAATAGATACAGGTGCTCACTGATCATTTTTTCTTCATTTCATCTTGACTTTCCCATTAATCTGTTCTTCAGTAACCTTCATATATCTTCCTGTTTTCTTTGATTCATCTACCTGATGTTTCTTAGGTACTGTCTTTCTCTGGCTTCTCCTACATTCCAAACTGATAAATGTTAGAGCTAAAAAGCTTAGTATGATGCAGTGAGAATATGGAGATATGATTTGGGCCAAACTGCTCACATTGGGCAGTAGACCTCTTTTCTCCATAGTCAAGCTGGAGCTTGGCTCTGTTCTGTTTCCATCTCATAGCCAACTGCTGCGATGGGAAAAGGTGGAGGACCCGTGAATGCAGCTGCTTTGCATGTTCCTATCCTGCATGTTAAAGTAATGAAGCCARGAGAGGGTACTATGCATATTTTGCTTCAGTTTCATGAATAGATTAGGGGAACTCTGAATTCTCTTTTTATGAGAAAATGTGGTATGTGAGGTGTGCCCAAGCTTAGGAACTGGAAAAGATATATTGGCCAAGAATCAGCATGGGAAAGATGCTTGGCAAAGTTGATTGAAACTGGAAATTTCAGTTCTTTGGGCCATCCTAGTATTTCAGCATTTTTGCTGGGACTATAGGAAATATAGTTTCACAAATAAAGTTTTGTTAGCAGAGACAGGACAGAAGATTATATCATTTGTCTTTCAAGAGATCTATGTGCAGTCATCTTAAAAAAAAAAAAAATCCAGTCATTCTACAAATTCCAATTCTACAAATTCCAGCCATGCTACATATAGCTAGTCCTTTTTTTTTTTTTTTTTTTTTTGTGGAAAGCACATCACCACTATTCGTTCTTTTCTGATCTTCTTTTGAAAGTTTATTTAAATTCTGTAGGTCTGGATGCTTTCAGATCTAAAGAGAGAAGCATTGTGGACCAAAGCAGTAAACTGTGTCATCTCAAAAAATCTGTGAGATTTAAGCTGCACAGCAYATATGTCTCCCGTGTCTTAAATAGACTTCTGTGGTATTTCTTGTCTAGTTTTGTGTCAGGGTGTGCCTGGTCCAAAGTGGGAGCACAGTGTGCTCAGCCGAGAACTTCCAGCTTTTGGCATATACTCTCTCTGGAGGGCAGATTTAGAAAACTTCTTATTATTTTGCATGTTTTCTTCCAGAGCCAAAATGATCGCTTATRTAGATATCACTGCCTTCTAATTCTGCATAACTTTTGCTGTGGTATTTATTCTTTCCACTTGGAAATAGTTGCTTAGCTTAAATATCAAAACAGAAACTATACAACAGCCAAAAATAGACACAGCTGGATGCAACTTTCCTCAAGCACTCTTTCCTCCACCCTCAATTTCCCAATGAAGAGTTTTATAGGAGCTGGGAGAGGAGTGTGTTCAGGAGGAAGGTGCTGTTATGACATACGCCTTTGGGGTGGGAGCAAACTGAAAATCTGCAAATGGACATTCCTGTAGTTCCTTGCAAACTAGCAACATATTGTGACTTRCAGCAAGTCTATCTGCTATTTAAAATCGTGGACTTTTTTTAAACTTAACTTGAGAGATGAGGAACTAATGTACAAAGGAGGATCAGAAAGAGAAATAACTTGCTTTGGATGAAATATTCTACATCCTATAACATCTTCTGTGTTACAGGAAAAATGTATTTTTTGAAGAGCACAAAGAAATATGCCGATTTAGAGCAGTCTTCTAGAAAGCAATGAACACAAGTTTTAGCTTAAAGCTTAGAGTGAGCATCTGAGGCTTCATATGACAAGACTGCAAATGATATTAAATAAATGAGATAGATTAAATAAATGAGATAGGGGGCATACGTCACAGATCTTGCCATGTCCTTCCTTCTTTTCGACTTATGGAGCCCTCTGTGATTGAGTAGCAGCAACCATCTTCTACCTCAGTGATGTCCATCATCAATTTTGCTGCAAGTCTACTGCACTGCTCCGTAATTTTGACCTGTGCCTACCCTCCCCATCCTTCAGCTTTTCATGTTGATCATTCCTTTCTCAGAAGGAAGCATATTTTTGTCCTTACAGCCTTCTGTGAGGAGGATGAGCTAGAATGCGCCAACCATGAATGTGTGCGACGAGAGCTGTGGTGTGACGGACAAGTAGACTGCAGTGACAGCTCAGATGAATGGGACTGTGGTGAGTTTCCCTCTTGGTACGTTTGGGCAAAGCTGATGGAAATAATTGCTCGTGGTTTGTTGTAGAATACAGTAGAGAGAGTTGCTCCCATGCTCCTGAAAAGAGCCTGGGTAGAGTTGAAGGCTTCTGTGTGTTGTTAAAGTAAAGCTCACTAAACATTATTCTTTCAATAAAAATGCACATGGATTTCATAAAACATGTGCTTAAAGGAAGCAGGTTGGAAAGTGGTAGTGTAGTCTGTGTGGATATTTTACTGAGTTTAGTTTTTTTCCTGTATGTTAAAATATTTTATATTACTAAGTTTTGTAAGTTGTAAGTTATTTTAAATGTAGGAAAAAAGATATTTCATGCTCATGAAATCAAATATTTTGTATTGTATTTGTATTGAAGTACAAATACATTCTACTAAAGTAGAATGTATAAACATCTAATAATTTATAAGTGTTAATAGTAATATTTAGTAAAAATCTATGCATCAGAAATTAAATGTTCTAGAAATGCATATATGAAAATAGTAAACAAAGATAAATATGGAAAGAAAATCTTTATGGAAAAGAAAATCAAAAGCGTCTTTGGCATATAGGATAAATAAATGTTTATGTTAAGATTAGTACTATCCAAGCAAAAGTGAGAACACTTTAAATAAAAGTTTGGGAAAAATTGCACCTAMAAGCTGTCGTCTTGTCAGGGAGCCTGGAGATGCAAGAGAGATGTGCGTTTCTGCTGGGTCATTTGGGATCATTTTGAGAAGGTTTTTATGTGTTTTTAGACCTCAGTTGAGAGAGAGAGAAGTAATGGTCATGCTCTTTCTTTTAAGCAGTAGTTGCTTTTTCCGTTGCTAATATCACCCAGATATTGTTGTGACAGGAACAATTTATATTTTTGAGAGTCAAATGATGTTATCACTCATGTCAAACAATTCATCCCATAAATAACCTAAGTGATTTCATTTGGACTATTTGAGGGGTAAGGTACCATGTAACAAGATTAAGGCTATCAGAAACATGTGTGAACTTTCCTCAGGATGTCTTTATTGTTTGGTGTCTTAAACAGAATTTCCACAGCCATTGTTGCCTCTATTTTAAATGATATGTCTGTCAAGCACGGAAAATGAGCAAAAATGTGAACAACTTCCCTAAGTGGAAGACACTTTTGAAAGAAGTTTCATGTTTTCAGTGACTATATATAAAATCAGCCATGCRAAATAGTAGTCAAGTTATTTTTCTTCTTATTTGCAGTTACGCTGTCTAAAAACAGAAATTCCTCGACGTTCCTGACAATTCRTAGGTCAGCTGCTGATTACCATGTTTGTGCTGACGAGTGGCAAGAAAATTTGAGCCAGCTGGCCTGCAATCAGATGGGTTTAGGGTAAGGTCAGTAGTTTGTAGCATTGATGAATTTCTTAGGATGGTTGGCATGACAGAGTTTGAATTTGTGAAAGATCATTGGTCAGTGTGACCCTGCAGAGTTGGTATGGACTTAATAYGGAAAGAATTCATAGCAAAAAGGGACAACGAAATTGTTCAAAACAGTGGCAGGAGCAAAAGCTACTAAAAATCTAGGCACTTTTTAGCATTTTACAAACATGAATTGCCCAGTTATTAAAAGAGTATGTGGAAAAGATAATAATCTCTTGCTTAGCCTCAGATATGAATTTGCAGTTATTTAGGAGATTCCAAATCACTTGGAAATGTGATACTCTTATGTATTTCTAGGCAAGTAAACCAAAATTTCTTTCTAATAAGCTTAAAATCCTTTGGTATCCTTAAATTGCTTTTACTACTACTGTGTTGTCTCAGGATAAACTGGTGGCCTCAGTATTTAATCATGTTTTTTTTTATCCCCCACTATATTCTAGCTTAATAGGCTTAGCATCAAATTTTCTTCCCTTCCTTGCTCTGAAGAAAATGGGGAAGTTGTGCGATTATTTTTCCTTTTCTCTGAGCTGTGCCTAGACCAAAATTAGCATGAGCAGAAACTTGTTTCTTCCTTCAGCAAGTCCTGCTTACAAGAAGTAATTGTCAACCTTATCACTTTGGAGACAATGTATGAGACAAAAATATTTCTTCCTTTTCACAAATCCCTTTTCTAACAGGGGAAGAGTCATAATAACTTTTCTGTAAATCCTTTTTGTAGTAACAGGTGATTGAATGAAGGGCTGTGGTAAGCTTCAATTTAAATCTGAATTTTGTCACTTGAAGTAGTCTGTAATATACAGCTTTAATTGTTACTTCTAGTTCTTTAGAATACCAAAGCAGTAATTTTCTTTCCCATTTAATGCCTGATTTTGTCAGTACCTGAAGTCTGATTTTCTTAGCTATGCCCCCAGTGTGTAGGAAGTGGTGCTGCAGAACATGCAGTAAATTAGCTGTGAAGATCTATAAGAAATCCCAAAGATTATAAAACATGCATCAGAACTAATTTCAGAAAGAAGCAATCTGAGTTAATATAAATAATTTATGTCTACTTTTAATATTGCTTGGGGAGTCAATGAAAATTGAATCGCAAAGTGTAACACTGAGTCACAAAGGGTAACATCTTCCATATGGAAGGATAGAAGATTAAGTAATATAATGGTGTTACACAACCGTGAAATCTTAGTTAAAGCCATAAGCTTCATCTGTTTTCATTATCTCCAGCATAATATATTAGGCAGTTAGCATAGAGGGTACATGGGAATTAAACTGGATGTTATAGAACACTCAAGTACTGCTGAAATTTTTTTCTTGATTTTTTTTTCATGTTTTCTTTTAAAGATAACACAGTTCGAACTGTGGTTTTCTTCTGATGTACCTAATTGGAAATATTTCATTTTAGTCCTTCAAAAAATTAACATTAAAATTCCGTCCATATTGCACCACATTCCAAAACCCACCAGCTGGGTTGCTATGCAAATTCATTAAAGGCTTATCCTGATAGTGCATTTTGGTTTAATAGTTCTCCTGCTTATTCTTAAAGCTAAGTCGTGCACATGAGATTCAAAGCTGAGACTTCTTAGTGTCTTAAGCTGGGAATTACCATTAATGTGTAGTATTTTTCCTTTCTGTACAGCTCTGCACAGATAACAGATAACTGATACCTGTGACCAGTGTTTTCCCAAATGACAAATCCCAGTTACTATATGATATTATAATGTTAAAAATATGAAAACAATGCATTTCTGGCACCTTGAAGTTATTTTTGCTTGTTTAGACTACATTAATCTGGAAAAGAGAATTTAGTGGTAGTGGTTAAAATTCAGTTAATTTAGCTAATAGAACTGATGTATTTTATCAATAACAAGTTGTTCTTCAATTGGGAGATTTGAGCACTGTCTGACACAACATTAGAGATAATTCTCTTCGGGCTGTATTCCTGGCTGTTGGCCAATTCTAATTCCATAGGTGGTGTGCTGTTTCTCAGCACCATGCAGGTACATGATGCAGCTTCACAGAAAACCTTGCAAATTCCAAGCCTTGTGCAAGGCTCCCGTCTCTAGTGATGGCTGGTGCTCACGCTCTGCAGTGCACACTTAGCAGCTCATGTTTTCTTCTAGCTAAAAGAATGTTATCCATGAGCTGAAGTTTTGTTTATAAGAGCCCAACTGGGACTGGTTTTATAGTTCAAGTATTGGGTTTCATAAAGTTTGCAGCCAGCAGGGGCTATTGGATCATCTGATATGACAGCCCGTTCATCTCAGTGCATATAATTTTGTTCAGAGGCCTCCTCCTGAGTTCAAAATTCAAATATTATAAAGCATGTCTCTGGCAATTGGTTCCTAGTGCCACAAGGGTAAAACAGAGGAAAAAAATTGCCACCAGTGCTCAGATCAGTCATCAGTGATATCACTGGTGTCCTGCAGAGACTGAGTGGCTGTCTAAGGACACATGTGTGCTCAAAATATTATATTATGTTCAGGAGACTGTAGATCTGTCTTGATGTTTAGCTAATGAAAAATATTTTCACATACCCTGAAGCCTACACTTTTGTTGCTGACACAGTGATCAAAACCATAGCCTGCTCATACCTGAAATTTGGCAAAACCAGAAGTTGGTGGAGTTGTTTGGCTGCTCTGTGGGAATTCAGCGCATAATTTCTTGTTTCTCTTCTTTTCTGTACTAGAATGAGATGACAAATGTTGTAACAATAAACTTCTGCAGGTGGTGCCCAGCTGTGTGAAGGGTAATTTCATCTGAACTGCTTCATGTGGTCTAACAGTATAAGCATAAAAGCATAACTGTTTCCAGTATAAGATGCAGTCGTCTTTAATAATATTTGTTGAACTGAGTAATTCAAGCTTGCTGCATCAATATTCTTTTTTTTATTTTATTTTTGTAACATGAATTATGCTAACTACTTTCTAACAACTGCATCAGAAATAATGGAAGTTGAATATAGCGTCTTGCTTAGGAATATCACAGAAAACAAAAAATGGAGTACTTATGCCCTATCCACATTAGAATTTTGAACTTCTGAATCTAACCTACTTTCTTTAACCTATTTTCTCCAAGGATAAATATGTCAGTAAGTCACATTTCTTGTCACGAATGAAGTATTTCAATTCATAAATTCAGTCTGCAGTTCTAAACCCACTTGAAAGAATGTAAAATATGTCTGACCTAGCCCAAATACCTCCATATTGGCAGCAGTGTGTTCTATTAAATCTTTAAAAGTGTTAGAAKAGAAAGAAAAGAAAAAGACCTCAGAATTCTTCAGATTATATTTATTTTATAAAGARGGGGAGCAAATATTTCTATTAAATAAGTTATATCAAAATTAACTATATAAGCTGTGCTTGGTATGGGAAACTTTATTATAATAGTTTTGAGAAAAAAATAAAGCAATGTTAAAACACAGTTATATGTAGAATACATAGATTTTAAGCAGAATACTTTATCTAAATTTAAAATAATTCCACAGGTTTACTATATTTGATAGCTTATGCCTCGTCTTTCATGTAGGCATGTAGTTTTAAGTTACACATAAATTATTTGGAGAAGGCTTTCTTCCAAAGAAATTTTAATCTTATCAATCCTTGCAAATTGTGAGAAGTGCTTCAAATAGTCATTAATGATATTTTCACTTGCCTCATACAGCACTATTTTAGCTCTGTGATTGGGTAACTTTTTATTTAGGTAAAAAAAAGTAATTATTATTATTGTTTAAATTAGAGACAGGTGAATGCTTCCAACCAAAATAAAGGTAGTTACTGTAATGATTGCTCACATTTTTATCAAGTTGTGCTATGTCATAAGTTGTATAAATGATGTATAAATAGGATCTACTCTTTTCCAGTGATTTCCAAATCCAATTTGCTAGATTTAAAATTAAACAGATGTTAGTTTTTACTGTCTTACCTGGAAATTTATTCTGTTAACTGTAAGCTGAACTGTTTTTTATAGTTTTTGTGGCTGATTCATTATTACCAATAGAACTATGCTAACATTTTTCAAAAATAAAATTTCTGTGTAGTGCAATATTGAAATAAAATAACAGTGAATTTTATATTCCATGGTGTAACCATGGCTTTATAGAACTCTGTTCAAGAGTAAGAAACATCTTAAATTCAACTTTAAGCACAGACAGGAAACACATGCTGTTCCAATTCTGAACTAGACTTAGTTTGTTAACTACTAGTTTCATATATGTATTATTCATGACCTCCTGGTGTCCGTCACATGGCTTCCTCTCTCAAGCCTGCTCTTCTGTTACATGAGGCTTAAAACAATAGAGTTACAGAAGCTGAATCTGGCAAATTTACTGGTGCTTTGARGAGAGGAGAAATCTGGTTTGGGGATTATTGAAATGCATATTTTATGCTAACCTTAGAAAAGTGCTTTGAGATAGTTTTGCACAATCAAATAGAGAGAAAGTAGAATTTTACATTCAGATAGATTTAAGTGCAACTTAATGAAAATGCCTTGACTTTCTCATTTTATAAGTGAGTGACTTTACAGTGTTATCTTCAAAATATCTTTTTGGATATTGCATTCTAAACAATTTCTTCAACTAACGGAATTAGATTTGTAGAATTATATGTGCTCTTTAATCTTTATTTTGTGTTTCTGTGAAGCAACAAGTCCAATTTCACTAAGATGCAAGCTCTTCCGTGACCTAAAACTCCCAGGGGGATATAGGTGAGAGTGGAGATTGAGCTCAAGCTTATAAGGATAGATGTAAAATGACAGCATAAATATCTGTGGAAAGAATCAGAAAAGCTAAGGGATAGTAAACCAAAATAAACAAACAAAACCAAAGCAAAACCACACAAAAAAAAAAAAAAACCCAATAAAATATAAGTGGAAAATGTTAGTCTTTTACTCATTAACAAATTAATTACAGTCTGATGACTAGGAGCCATCAGTAGCAAAGAAATAAGAATTAGGGCT